AACATTGTATAAAAATAATATGTTTCTGGGCAAACCTGAGAAGACGGTAGGCTTGGATATATCAATCGCATATTTCTATACTATTGCATTGCATCTATTGATCTATAGTGATCAGTGCATATCTATGAGTAATTTAACTCTTGTTGAGATAGCTTTAATAAAACAGCTAGACCTCTTCAACAACGCCAAATCGCTCGAAAATATATACGATTTTCTGAATTCAGAGATCCTGCTCGACCGATTGGTGTGAAGAAATTGATATGTTATCGGTCAACGTTGAGAGTATGGTAGTCCTGGATGTGGCAACCCCTATAGCATCACAAAAATTTCTATATCTCCTCGTAGAAGTGGAATATTTCGACGAAATCTTCATTTTCAGGAAGCACATATTCTGCTCAATCAAATGATGTACTAATATCAACATGTTGCATGGCAAACGTGAGGGAACGATTGGCTTGAATATATCAAAACTATATTTGTGTAGTAATGTATAATATCTATTCACCTATAGTAATACAATGCATTCCAATGGGCACCACTGCGCTAGTTGAGCTAGCTTTAATAAAATAGCTNNNTTTGTAGAGTCTGGATGAAGAGTGCTCTCTACATCGCACCGCAGTCTGTTATGAATATAAAACATCATCTGCCAGGTTTTAATGTATCTTCACATTACTTTCATGACTTTTCGTTATCTCGCTGAAGATCATTGTTGAACTGTGTGAGAAACTAGTCAATGGTGTGGATAACAGATAAATACGAAAATGAATTAAGTAACTGAAATATACAACGAACAGATCGATTATAAAAGAAATTTTACGCGAAACAGACAACACAGTTATAACACGTCGAACGATAACTATTATTATATTAACGATGACAAAAGAATTAATTATAAAATGATAATAATGACAATTGATTTGATAATACTAAAAACAGTTCGACAGAGTTTCATCAAAAACAATAAATAGCTGATTGAACAGAGCAATGTTCCAGTGTACCCTCACTATCAATCGTAAAGGATTTGAACAGCAGCAAATCAAAAAAGCACCTTCACCCCACAACCAAAATCTTTCCACTGACTGCATCACTAAAGAAACAGATCGATATTTTTGCTCAAGTATTAACGGATCCAGTATAACAAGATCGAAATTAGACTACTAAATGGTCATTGTACAGCCATAAATACGAAATAAAACACAACAATAAGCACGTCGAAATAAAGACAGTCACAAAACGAATACTTGTTGAAATACCGGAAACATTAACTTTCTGAATGTTGACTGAAGTCGTTCAATCCTCTTGTTTTCTTGAACGCTGATTAACTCGTCGAGATCAGATCTCAGGCCGTAATACCCAATGCTGCAAGAAATTATTAAAATTGCAATCCCGAGCAAGAAGCTTTCACTAGTATAACATATTAGATCCATGAATTGGGTGATTATGTTTTCCCTGTAATACTTGAAATGTTAAGAGGAAAAACAACAGCGGTTAATGATGAATGAATCATGCCGAAACTGGATGTAATTACACGGTGACAGAAACAGTTTTAAGGTTCCTTGGACCTGATTCCAATGTTCTCTGGAGTTTTGTAACAGTAGCAATTGCTTGAAACTCAAGAAATGCTCAATGATGGAAACGAAAACGTGAAAAAGAGTAAATGAAGCAAAGGCTGTACCCATCCTTGTTTCGTCAGCAAAGTAGCGCACGTCAAATTCATTATCGTTACACATCTTCAACAATAATGGTTTCACTTGGGTATTCACTGATCTAAAATTATTACACGTTCACATGCGAAGTATTAACATCGAGCAATTATGACTAATAATAACGATCGATATTATGATAAATGCACTACGAAACAACCGACTAACCCTGCATCAATAACACGTCCAATACGCAACAGCGTTTTCGCAACATTGAAACGTACATTCGGGACTAGATCTTCACTCAACTGTAAAATCATCACTTGTATGCAATACCATCTGATATAATAACTTTCATTGAACATTACTTAATCACCACTCACAAATACTACTCCAACGAATGCTGCTATTTCAACAGTAAATATTACGACAACAATGACCAATTACATTTCGAGATAATACTTCAATCCATCAATGCTTCAACCATAATACTTCAATCATTGCCAATACTAACCCCAAAATGAACTGATAATAATTACGTTCTAAAACAAGTGAGGCCTCATTATCCGCTAAGTTAGAATTGTGCACGATTCTGCGATTACGGAAACTTGAACGTGATCAATTAATCAACAGAATTATCACTGTCAGAGCGCACACACTAACCTGCTGCACAACCGGTAATATTTCTTTGAGTGTATTCTCGGCACCGATTGCTTCACAAAGCGTATTAAAACAGAACAGACACGCCAATCGACGCAGATAATTCTTCTCTTTCGCCAGTGGAACCACCTCAATACAGATTTGTTCACAAACGCAATTTTGCTCTTCTTTTTATCCTATGTCTTTATTTTTAGTGAATTGATTGAAGATAATCGAGAACGACTGACACCAACTAAGAAATTTTAGTTCATTTTATGAGGAATAACGAACTCACGAACTAGCATATCTACCCATAGCAATTCAAAATATTCAGTTATTAGTTGCAGTTCTAATGAGAACGCGGTGAATACGTTGACCACAGAATTCACGAAAAACATTGTATACTTTACACTTTCATTAGAAAAAATTCGTATCATTACTTCACCATTCTTTGATTAAAACAAATAAAATAATCAATAATAAAACAACTAAACAAATAAATGAAAAAACCTGTGGTAAAACTTGTTTCAATGCCCAATCAGCGCCAAATTTCTCAGTTAACTGCTTCAAAATACCAGTGGCTGCCTCCCGAATTGCATAAACTAAAACCAATGTATAAATCAACCGTATAGTCTTACTTCTCACTGAGAAACATCATTCAACGCTATTATCATAACTGATTAGAACCATTTCAACTGAATTATTTTAATGAGGCAAACCAACCATGATCAGTTAGCCATGCAACGCAAAGTGACAGAAGCTTTTCATCGAAGAATTCTTGACCCTTCAAATATCAACTCTTTAATCTGCCGATAAACAAATGAATATGAACAAATGATACGAAGGAATCGCGAGTAAATACTTCAATGAAACGAACCAACTGAGCAGCAAGTAACGGCATGAAGTCAACAATCGCTAAACGAACACGCCACTTGCTATCTTCAGCCAATTCAACGATCGCCGGTAACAGAGAGTGCGACAACTGAGCTGCGCCAATCACATCGTTCACCTCAAATACATCGCATTCGCACTATGAACTGAACTGCACAAACACTAACAATTCAAGGAACAAACCTTATCGAGTGATGAAATGATGTTCAGTCTAACTTCAGCAGTTTCATCACGGAGTAGAGTCAGATAAATCGGTAAAAGATGCTCCAGTGTGAGTTCATTGCCAAGTATGGGCGCTAAGCCCATTATGACTGATGCTAACGCTGTTTTGACGTGTTGATTTGGATCTGTTACTAATTCTTTTACCACTGGTAAAATATTCGTTAATATTGCCTTTTCACGACCATTTGGGGGTAATGCTGCGCAAAATTCTGAAAATTANAAAACTTTACGTCTTCCTCAAACTACACAAATCAGTCATTAAATCAACTACGTAATTTTATGATCCTTTACATATGTGAAAAATACAACTTAACGCTGACTGTTATCATAACCGAAATATTACACAACCAATGGCTTAAACTAATTACTAAGGTGAATTACAAAAAAAGTATAAAACAATATCTTATATTCCGTTGCTCGAGAAATGAAAATGAGAAAATAGTTCAAATAAAATACGTTGAATTTTTGCAGCTGATGCACTTCTTACTTCTCCTTCCATATCCTTCAGGAGATTTGTGAACGTAGGCAGTAAATCGCTCATTGTTATATCTTTACCGACTGCTTGTTGGATCTGTAATTATGTATGGATTTTCAGCGTGAATTTCAAATTCTACGAGAAACAATAAAATTATAAATGAACAAATCGGTTCATTCAAAACCTGTTTTCTTGTCGCATATCTGATGAAAGTTTTTTCATTGAAACAATCGCAGAATGTTGATCACGTACTCTGATCAAGTCAAATTTCATTGATAAGTGAGAAGGAAGAATGATGACAATATTAATTTAATATAAGCGAATCAGACAAACCTCAGTGAACTTCTCAGCAACCATATAACGAACACGCCAACTCTTATCATCCATCAGGCTACAAAGCACCGGTTTGATCAGTTCCTTGCGCTGGTCTTCAGTCAGCAACGATGCAATTGCAATGCATGCTTCTACGGCTAATAAACGAACAGAGTCCTTCAATCGTTCATTTATTTATTTGTCAACAAATCAACACGCAATATTACAATCATCACTCAACCCTTAATAAAACCTACAACCAAACTTTGCGCTTCAAGAAGATGATGAATTTCCCTGACCAATGCTATCAAAAAACCGACATAAAAATAAACATTCTTCAATCAGTTTTGAAATTTGCAACATAATTTGACTTATTCTTGACAGTGCGCAATGACGGATGTTAAAACAAAAACGTGAACATTAGTTTAATTACGCAAAAAAATAATATTATAAAATAAAACATAAAATAAGAATGAACCTGCTCATCGGATGCCAAATCAACGAACATAAGCAACAGTTCATCCTTCAAGAAGTCTGGTTCCATCACTTTAGCAAACTCACCCAACTTCGAAGCAGCTGCACGTCTGACCATTGGTGTATCATCACGGCACAGTGCTCGAAACATGCTACAATTGCTTATTTTCTGGGTAATCATAAAACACTTCTTTAATAACACGCTCAGCAACACACTCACACAACACCAATAACATCTTCACTGATATTTCTATACAGATCAATTCCACAGTTCTGACTTCTACAAATGATAATGAAGAAATTAATTACAAAAACGATGATAATATCATCAAATGAAAATAAAAGCAACTTTCGAAGCTCAGCCTTGATCGCAGGACTAACGCGAGGATATGCCACACTGAAAAGACCACAAGCTGACGTACGTGATGTAAACCAATCACCTGAGAATATTTGAGAAAGCATGAAAAATCCACTATAGTGAGAAGTTTGATTTTAAAATATTAAATAATCTCAGCGACCCAAAGAATCTTGAGAGAAGATGATGATACTGAAGAAATGGGTAACTTATGAAAAGATTCACAAGCAGTAAAGTGATAACGTAAGCGGTAAATGATAACGAAGGCAATACGAATGAAGAACTTGACAGAAAATTTGATGCTGCACAAAATTCTGAATTATAGAAAGTAATAAAAAAGAGTGAATAAGTGTACCAGTAGCAAGTCTTCGAACCATCGCAATGAAATGCTCTTCGATCGCTGCACTCGAATGTTTCTCCGCGATTTTACGCAGACTTTCAACGGCTTTATCGCGAACTACTGTCTCTTCGACAGTAGCTAAATTCTCGAGTGGTGGCAATAAGCAATGCACATATTCCGGTCCACCAACCAACGGTGTGAAATTCCCTAATTGCTCAGCCAATGCCAACAGCACTTCGTCCTCATCATAAATTGTATCTGCAAATTATTTCATCCTATCAGTAACGAATGTTTTCCAGTCGTTTTATCATTATTACTGCTATCATAAAGACAGTGCTCATCGCTTTCATCCATGCAATCGAAGGATTATTACGGCGCTTTTTAACCCACGAAGCCGTTTTTGATCAACTGCAAAAATAATCTATGCAAAAAGTCATTCTGAGGGTGATTTTATTGCTGCTAACTTATTCGAAGTCGACTTTGCGTTTTGTGATACAAGCAAACTTTATGAAAGGAAATGAAACATCAGTTTATTGCTGCAGCATGGTATTCACGACGTGCTTGGTAGATTTGTACAGAGTTTTAAAAGAATGGATACGTTTCAACAGCAATATAATAAAAGGAAAGTGCAGAAATAAAATCTTCGTTAAAAATGAAATCAAGTGAAATAAAATAAAAGAGGAAATACCAGTTAAAAATTGCACAAGTTCTCCACGCGTACGTTCAGCACCAAGTGCGAGAGCAATCGTTGAGAGTTTACGAATACTGTTGAGTCGTAACTGAACATCTTCATTTCTCAATTCATCGATGAGAACGGCTATTGGATAAAGATTCTCATCGGACTGTTCGTGACTTTGAACTGCCGCCATTTGGAAAGTGGTTCAACCGACTCGATTTCGATCAGCCTTTCACAATGCTGCTAACGTTATCAATCATTAATATCAGGGTGGTTAGCATTAGTTTCAACGTTGAGTGAACGAAAGCGATAGACACGGCTGCACAGAGATATCGATCGAAAGCAAACAAAAGAATATCAATTTATTACGACAATCAGATATCGAACATGCTCTCTTCAACCTATTCCCACAATGCACAACAATCAAAGTCACTCATGAACGGTTCCTCACCATGAACAATGTAAAAGGCGCATTCTACCATCTGAATTTAAACCAGCATCGGAAAAAACATATTTCCGTTTGCACGTAAACCTCTTCTGGGTTCAGTTTAACGCCAGTTGACAACAACATCCAATACATACAAGGAGACCGCAAAGATCCGGAAAACTGCATACTAGCAAATGTAAAAGCCTAACGAAGGTAGTTATGAAATCTTAGAGGTGTTTCATCATTTATTCACCCCACTTAAACAGCAAAGTGTGGCTAGAAAACTGCGGAAAGCTGTAAAAATCACCCGAACAGTTTAGCCGATCCTCAGCCCAAGCAACGAACTCAGTTCAAACTCAAACTCAAGCCTGAACTTGACTCAACTTGACCTTGTCATACTTAGTCACTATTACCACCCCATTTTTGGAGCGCTGCTAAATCTGCCGAATCGTTCAATTGCTTCGTTTGTATCGTTCACACTATGAGGAAAGATTGCAAAACATGTCAGAGCTACAGGTAAATTAGAAAATGCTAAATTAGCGCTGTATAGATTTGCAAACGGCAACCTATAAAATGCGCTTACTTGATATAATAGTCTAAGGTTTACCTATGCTATAATCGTTAGCTATGAATTATAAGTTAAGAAACTTTCGGCAAATGTAGCATACGGAAATTACACGCTTAAAATTTTTTGAGAGACATAATGTACGCACAGTATACTTTAGCAGCTGCATCAGACTAAACTTTTGAAAATTGGCAAAACTCGTAGTGATCGAGAACGCATATCGGTCAGATTGCTTATTACTCATAGAATGGTACAAACATCAACGCAACGCATTGTTCACTGTGCGTTGAAAGTGTAATCAGAGATACATATACAAGTGTGTGGCAGACTGACAAGGAAAGGTCCCGAACTTACCCCCACGTTTCGGGATGAGATATATATCGTATTGAGACCTCCTCCAGAATTTTCACGTTAAGACGTCAGGAAACCGATATTGTGAGTAATCACATAAGAGTGGATCTTGCGGATGAATAATGTTTTGAATAATCGGAAGAGAAATCGGTCAACTGGTTGAATATGTGAAGTTGCGCTGGCTGCTTCTCAATCTCGAATGACACATTCGACAGCAGCGATTCTCTCATTTCATCGTGCCGCTTAAATGGTGTCCATGAAATGAAAAATATGCGTGCACATACTTCGTGAACCATGAAAGTATGTGCGACATGGTCATAGTGTGCGACTGCCCGCAGTCGACGACAAACTTACGTGAATACTAATTGAAAGTCTTCGGAAAGTTGTCACTTGGCTCGACTACTACAACTTATAATTTAGGCAATAGAACACCATGTGCCGTGATGGTTGAGAGAATGGTGACCGAATGCGTCAAAGATT